ACAACTTGTTAAGTTAGTCTTAGATTATATTATTTGTTATAATTAAATGTCATTTTCTATTTGTTCACGAATAGACAGTATAATATATTTTAGTCCAATAAAACTCATTTATTTTTTAATTATATTCTTTATTAACATATAAGTCTGTATTAACCATAGTAATATAAAAAGTATATTAAAATCCAAGGTGCTGATGGACACGCTGACGTCTATATATGTTGGGTAAATAAATCTTTTGGCTAACTTTCTGGAAAGTCTTGGTTCTGTAAGCCAAATATAAATAAATAAATAATTAATTGTTCACTAACAAGCTTGATTAAAAATTATTATTATTTAATAATAACATCAGTAAATTGGTAGGGTACATAAAATATAGTATGATAAAAAAAAACGGCGTCAGCGATGACTATGAAATGAAGATCGCTGTCATTTTATATACGTAAGATTGTATGGTATTATAAGATACAACATGATAAAAAAAAACGGCGTCAGCGATGACTATGAAATGAAAATCGCGATACAGAATGTCATTTCAAAACTAACTTTTTTAGATGCCGTTTTATACGGTACATAGGAACCTCCACAACATAAAAAAAATTGAAAGAAATTAGTTGCATTGGTAATTAAGAAATATTTTAATTATAATAATTAAAAGTATTAAAACTCTTAAAAATTAAATAAAAAAACTAACTTTTAATATAAGCAACCCTACATACATTTAAGGGTATTTTTAGTTGCATAAAACTAAAGTAAATTGAGCGCCAAATTACTTCATTTAAAACTAATCATTTATAACCTTTGAATATCTATAACTATATTTTACAAAATACAATAACATTACTTGTTTATTAAATATGTTTGATTAAAAAAATATTTTAGTATAATTTACCTAAAGTTATTGAGCGCCTCTCATCATGAAATTCATCCTCAATATGCTGTTAAATGTTGAAATAATCAATGTGATGGTATCTGGAAGAGGGTGGTTGAATTGAAGTGGAGTTGTCGCAAAAAATCCTTGTTCTCTTGTTCTAAAGCGGTACAATATCCCATTCAAAAATTTTAGAAGGAATTAGAAATAGGATGAAAAGAAGCAATCAACTATTAGAAAATAAATCCAAAATTATACAACTCCATGTAGGCTTCAAAAGAAATAAGATGAAAGACTTGGGAGCCTTAAATAATAGCTGTAACATAAACAAGAATACAAATAAAAGAAGAGATTTAGAAATACAAAGAATGATACAATATAAAAAATAATACAAGTGAATAATGACTGATAACTCAGAAAGAGAGTAGAAGATTTCGCAGAATGAAGATAATATCAAATACATATAAAAGAAATAGAGGTAAGTGGATTTGAAAAAAATTGCATAAATTACATAGTTCCTCTTCAATAATGAATTTCATCCTCATTCCACTGTTGAATGTTGGATTTAATCAATCTAATGATATCTTGAAGAAGGTGGTTGAATTAAAGTGCAGCTGTCCTGATGCCAGATTGTTGGTAATATTCATCAAAAGGATAAATACACTACCATGGAACTGTATACATCCATCGATTTGTTGTAGAAAATCTGTAACAAAGAAATATATAATATTATGTTTTATTAATTAGGTATGTTAAAATAATTGTGTTTATTTTATTTTTCTTAGTCTGTTAATAAATTTTTAATAATTTATTAAAATTATTTTTAAGAAATTAAACATTCATCACACAATGGAAGAACAACTTGTAAACCAGAATGATGGCGAAACGTCAGGATTATACAAGGGGTGACCCAGGTCTCTTCTTTTAGGTGGTCTCTATGTGCAGGTGTGTATTGTTAATAACATTCCTAAAAAAGAAAATCATAATTAAGCATTATATTAATACAATGCAAATTTGTTAATGACTACAGGGTATAATATTGCATGGTCATACCAAATATATCTAAATATGGAGCACTGTACTAAGTAACTTACTTTTTAAAATATGCTATGCAGGTCTCCAATGGCCAAACATCAGAGTCAGAGGATGATCCAGGTCCCCTCTTTTGTGGAAGGATGCAGAAAGACACCGTTCTCTTGTGTGGTATTATTAACATGTCTAAGACAAAACGAAACATATTTAAAACACTCAAAACAAAATAAACACTTTACTACATCTATCAAAGAATGAAAGCGAGATACTGTTACCACATATATTCTCATAATTTTTTATGTTTCTCTAACAGTATGGAAATTAGAAAAACTATAAATGGGATTAACCATTAAAGATAATCTCCAGACATATATTAATAAAAATAAAGCTTACTTTGAATTTCTTGTACTGCAGTAATCGAAGATGGAGCTAAACCTTTATAAAACCTCCGCAGAAAGACACGGTTCTCTTGTGTGGTATTATTAACATGTCTAAAACAAAACAAAACATATTTAAAACACTCAAAACAAAGTAAACACTTTACTACATCTATCAAAGAATGAAAGCGAGATACTGTTACCACATATATTCTCATAATTTTTTATGTTTTTCTAACAGTATGGAAATTAGGAAAACTATAAATGGGATTAACCATTAAAGACAATCTCCAGACATATATTAATAAAAATAAAGCTTATTTTCAATTTCTTGTACTGAAGTCTCTCTACCAAACCTCCTCTTATAAATCTTCGTCTACTGATGTGATTTTTGATGTTTTACCTTCTTGCCCCAGCTAATTTAACCTATGGTCAAAGATAAACCCTCAGCCAGCTTTTAGACATGGAGGGTAGTAACTTCCTCAGGTACTTGTACTTGCTATGCAGGTTATTGATGGCCGAACATCAAAGTTAGAAGATGATCCAGGTCTCCTCTTCTGGGGAAGGATACAGAAAGACACCATTCTCTTGTGTGATATTACTGGGTATACTAACACTGATTTATTCTAAAAGACCTAGAAATAGGGACAAAATATTAGTTGAGGAATAAAAAACATCTTTAAACTCTACCAAAAAAAAATGTTTGAAAAAATACCAAATGTGTCTAAATATAAAGCAATATTCTAAATGACTGTATTTCTATTGTACAATAGAGACATCAAGGAATGTGTCTATGTTTTCATACACTCGATTTTAAAAAAGAAAATTATGAAAATTGGAAAAATATATAAGCTATTAATGATGATGTAATTGAAATATTTGAGAGTGAAATAAAATACAAAAAGCATCAAAACAATGGGTACTTACAGTTACAGGAGATTAAACAGGCCTTACGGAACAGAATAAGCTCAAGTAGTGCACAGAAAAATCACTTTTTTCACCAGAAAATCAGAAAAATCGTAAGAACTTTGACAACGGAAAATCGTTGCCCAGTCATGATCTTTTTTTGCTGCATAAATAATGCTATGCCTAAAATAAAATATTTATTCTAGAAAAATAAAGTGTTTATTAGATTTATAATGATTTTGTAACCGTTCAATTCGTTTTATATTAACAAAAACAAGATTTAGAATAGCTGTCTTTGCTTAAAAATTAAAAATAAAAATTTTGGCGACATTTTAGATTTTAGTTTAAATTTTTCTCACTTTTTCCATAATGGCGCCACAGGCGTTCTTCTTCTTTTTCATATTTTAGGGCTGAAGAGAACGGTCACCACAGAAACAAAGTAATATTCTTCTTCTTTTTAATACTTCTGATCTTAAATATGTGCAACCACAGATTTGATATAGATTTTCTTCTTTTTATTTTTTAATGGCTCTAACTTAGATTGGTCATTTATAATCTATGGTTAATTATTAGACAAAGACAACAATAAAAATAAACAAATACAGCAATAGTAAATTATGGTGATTATTTTATTCTTGACTGTGTTCTGGACATTCTCCTAAATTATTTTATATTTATTCATCTTGTCTCTGTGTTGGTATCTGGATATTGTTAAACTCAGTATATTTCCTTCGTTTTCATCAGTGTATTTCTTTCATTTGTATTATCCTCAGGAATAAGAGCATATTTTAATCCTTCCAATTTAGAGATAGCAGGTATTTTATAATGACTAGACACGCTAGAAATTGCACTGCTGGGGCAGTCTATACTTACCACGAAAAGAAAAAAGATGCCCAGGCTTCAGGCTACGGTACAAATGTGCAGAGACTGAGTAAAGATTCCATAAAAAATTTCGATGCCTGCTCTCTATCATTGCAGCCTTGTAGAAATCCTGTTATAACGTAAGTTTTTAAAATCATTCTGTGTTCAATTATCTTAATATTTATACTTTAGGAAAGATGGTTATTTATTTGACAAGGAAGTAATTTTAGAGTATATTATCTCCAAAAAGAATGAGTACAGCAGGAAACTAAAAGAATACGACAGGCTAAAAAAGAAAGAAGATGAAGAACTGGCCAATAAAAAAG